ACCGTACGTATACCAAAGTCATTATTTACATTACAATAGCCTAATCGCTATATCCAATATATATTATACATGGCTCGTTTATGACGATACAGACTCAAAGACGACTTACAGTCCCGATACACTTAGTATACACGATATCTAAACCTATAATAAATTGCAAATTCGCGGTCTGTGAGGGAGATCATGGCTGACTACCATGTGCGTCTGTCTCATGGCTGGGAATCGACGAAAGAGAAAAAAAAGAGCGTTTCAAGGCGAGTCAGTTTTATTGAGAAAGGACAAATAGACAAATGGGGTCAAAGAAGACAAGCAGACATTCTAAGAGAGTATGACAACCAAGCGCTTGATCTTTTAAGCTGGTGCAGTAGTAAGACAAAGGACAGTGTGGCGAAAAACTACAATGGCTAAGCACTGACCATTGTCAGAGTTTCTTTATCAACACCACCTCGAAGTTGGTAACAAGGTGAATTTGAACTTCGGAGCTAACGAAGATGAAGATCTTAACAAGCATGAAGTGAGTAAGGAAGCTAGTGTATCTGATAAAGGCCAGAGAGACTTTTATGAAAGCAGTGATGAAGAAGTTGACGTCATTACCGATGACAACGATTCTCTTACCAGCAAGATGAATTAGCAACATCGACAATTTTTCTTTTGGATGCAAGGTAGCGATATGGTAGGGCGGTGAGGTTCAATAATTGACTGCTGGTTTAAAAAGTAAGTAGTTTAAATACTTACATATCATCAGAGTAAACGTCACAACAAGTTCTTGCCGGCGTTTAAAAAAAAGTTACAAATTGTATCGCTTAGCTTAGACAGTGCAATTGAACTTTAGACCAAGTTACAGGCTATTGATTGATTCAACTTTCCAATAGAATCTCCAAACTCTCAGGTCTTAGTTCGGAAATGGAAATGTTGAATTAGGGATTTTAGATGAAAATTTTCAGAACCATAGCTTTTTGCTGACCCGAGCAAACTTCATTTGCTACCGGGGTCTTAAAGGTTTGCAATAACTATTCGTTGTCTCTTGGAGCGATTACATTGCAAACAGTGCGACATGCCTCTTCCACGTGATCCAAACATAGGGATTTTTCGTTTGCCGTTGCCTCTTCCCATTTCTTTGATAGCCTAACAGAAACAGGTTTACCTTTTTGTTCTATGAGTGAAGCAATCCTCGTCATAGCCTCATCACACAAGCACATCGGCTTCTTTTTTCATCTGATGAGTCATAGTTTGACAAAACCTGCCCAGGAGTCCATGTGGAGTCCCGGTTATATATTTCGACGCCTACAGCTGGTGAAAAAACACATCGCCGATTTTGCTTCCTCTTTGGCTTTCCTAAAAAGTCAAAATCAGGCAAGGCAGTCAGTAATTGATAACATTTATCACCGTCGGTAGACTAATAGAGAGTTCCAACTCTGTTCTTAGTGAAACAAATGCGGACTAATTGCGCTAAGCCGGCATAACAATTCTTTTACGTGTTGACATATGATTTAAAGTTATCATTATACGTACCTCGACAAGTATGATATGCCACAAGAATCCTTTTCTTCGGCTAGAAGCCGCTTTTCTTTCCTTGATGTTCTTAGCCAGAGCCACTCATTCTTTAATCGGCCGTTATGTAACTTTCTGCAGCTGCTACAGATGGCTGACAAGTACATAGAAAAGGTATTCTGATACTACTAGCCATTCAATAAATTATGAATCAGTATCAGTTATCCTGATGTTATCTTAATCGGTACAGTTATCATCGTTGTTTAATCAGTTTTGAAACGAATGCCTTGTTTGTTTAAGTTGTATATTTTTATGTCACACACTAAAACACCAAAACGAAATTTAGGCAATTTTCGTTACTAGTTCTCGTGGTGATAAGAAGTAATATTAAGTTATTGGCTTTTACTCCCTCTCTATTTTTTTTGTTGATTCCTTTTTATTCATTATAATTTTTTCATTCGGACATTCTTTGCCCTGTTCTTGTTCTTGCTCTTGTACCTCTCTGATTACTTGTAACAAGAGCAAATAACCCAAGATCTAACTTTTAAAACTTTTAGGGCCTATCCACACCAGCAGAAAATTGTTTATCTCAAAAATTTTATGTCAGCAACAACACCTTTTACAAGCATGGATGGTTTGTCGCGACAAGACAAATATTGGCTGAGGCAAGAAAATCTCCAAGCACACCGCCGACAAAATTTCTCTCGGGTGAAAACTGGACTAAAGCAGCTAAATAAACAAAGCCGTGTTAAACTTGTCGATCATTTGTTACAAAAGGTGCCACCTATGTTAGCAATAGTATTCTTTTCTTACGAAACTCGTGGATTTTAAAACTTTGAAAAGGCTTAATCCTGGCAATTCAAGTTTGAATCAATTGGCAAACTATGCAGGCTAGTCGTATGGGCACATCAAGCGCTGACGAAATTTGACAGATTTGAAATTTTTAAGCCGGTGCAAAAACAGAAACATTTTTTCGTGGCAAAAATTTGTCCTATGATTTTGTGGAGACAATTCTAACCCACCCTGCTGAGGCAGATAGGCCATTGCCAATCAATTATTAGTGACACTAGCCTTCACAATCTAGAAATTGAAAAAAAAAATATTACTAATGTGATCCGGACTGCAACTATAATTCCGTAGACTTTTTAAAAACATTTCCGGCCAGTCTAACTTTGAACACTCGGTTTCCTTAAGCAGTCTCACAGTTTCCTTTGTGCGCTGGATGCTGGCAAGTACTTTAACCGCATTTCCAATGTTTCCCAAGGCGTTCCGATGTTTAGAACACACAAACATCTGTTTTACTTTTTCCATTTCGAGGCCAAAATGACCAGAACGAAACAACATCAAATCATCCAACTCTAGGATTTTGCTGGATCGGCAGTAGTACTTTAAATGACTTGATACGTTGTCCTGGCATTCCAGGAAAGATATCGGGGCTGAAAATCCGCTGAAATGGCCGCAGTCACCACAATCTTTGCTTTCCAAGAGACAAGTTACTTTTTTTTTTTTTTTGGATAAATCTCTTAAAATAAATGAATAACTGAGGCAACTCTCCTCTCTAAAGAAACGCGTAAGGCACAACCTTAGCTAAAGTGAAGGGGTTGGATCGAGGTATGCTGTGACCTTAACTCCCCTCATAAATATTGAAGGGAGGCGGGTGGGTGGAGTGGAAAAAAAATTGAGTCTTTCTTTAAGAACGTTGTGGACTGTAACAGCATAAAATATTTGATGACGGCAGCAAATTTTCAGAAATGAACGTCCGAGGATTGCATTCCATGTGCGAAACCTTGGTCGAAACTGCAAGAATTCTTGCAGAGTTCACACGTATTGTTTCGTAAATGACACCGAAATATACAAGTATTTTAATTGTTTCTATGTAGCTTTAAGCTACGCGGTATGTATGTAGTGACCAGAGTGCTAAGTTGAATTCTTAAATTTTGATCTTCTCCACTCTGTGCGTGGTTCATGACCTGTTTCTGAATATTTTCGAAGAGGCGTCTTTCGATCGCTTTTGTTTTGTTCAATTTGTTGGTCCTGCATGCTTTGCGATAAATCAGGTTTATGCAACATTTTAGGACAACTAGGGATTTTTGGTCAATTTCATAATAATGCAAATGACCTCTGAAGGGTGCGTAATTGAGTAAACTCATGGATTTGAGTTGTTTTCAAGACGTAGGTGGATGAGAATTAGAGAGATACCTGCGGGTTTGAGGCAATCAGTGACCTCATTGGTGTATAAACTATCCACTAATATGCTTTTTTAGCCCGATTTATACCTGCAAAAAATAAGGGAAAACTTTTTTTCAGACGGGAAGTCGAGAGAACCGCTCTTAGCGAGAACGGCACTTCCGTTGTATCATCCTAAGTCCCACGTTTAGTGAGCGGAAATTGCGTCTACATCTAAATTGGTCGTCCAAGCGTACCTTTATTTCACTTTCGTGGCGTTCCAAATATCCTCATCCAAAGTAATGAACGATGGGTAGAGCGAAGGTGTTGGCATTGATACTTCTTAAAGTAATATGTTACTGTCGAGAGCACGTGAGTGGGAAAGTAATCTTTAATAATTCTAGAAATCATGAGGGGCAAGCTCTCAATCGAATGTCTAATTTCATTATTTAATTTTTTTCTAGATAGTGGCACTCGATTTTACACTATTTTGATCATGAAACTGATTAAACGCTTCACTTTCGCGATGAATCAAGAGAATTGCGAGATAAACCTCGAGGTAGGACGCGCTTTGACCGATTATAACAAGTATATTTCAAGAGCGACGGACGAGGATGGCATAGTCTTTTCGAGAAGGAATAAGTAGACTGTCAATAGTGATAATACTGATCAAATTTTTGTATATTGAGTAATGTTGACTTAACAAACATATCAAAGTAAACTACATCCTTCACTATCTTTCATCTGCTAGTTGTAGCTTTAAATCTGTTTCATTTGTGTATATCGCGTCAATACAGATGTGTTGCATGACAAAAAAAAGACGAATTTATACAATGTGCTAAATTTTATTTTATTCACTGCTTTAATACATTACTCTTCTTGCTTGTTCAAGTGAAAACTAAGTGAATTGGAAAGATTTAAATCAGTTTTTAGATAATTAATGTAACCTTTGGCGCCTGAATCCTAAGTATGTTAATGCTTGAGTGGATTCGAATCCATCCCAAACTAACTGCAGTTAAAATATATCAAGCTATCCAAAAGGCCACCGATCATATACATGAATAGGAGAGAGACATGAAGTCGAATGAAGGGGAAAAAATATTCAGTCGAAGCTTTTTCCATAATTGTGGCGTAAAGCTACTAAGACAGTGCTGACCCTGGCGACCTCGATCCCGCTAGCAAAGCTTTAAAGAACAATCCAAAAAATATCCAACGATTTTGGAAGGGCAAGTCATTCTCGCGATCCTTGCCGAAAACTTCCGAAAGCGTACGGATATTTTCCGACGCCCAAATGGTCAGAGGGATTGTGGGATGCACGTCTTTTGCCCTTGAGGCGCGATCTCTCGTAATTCTTCCGCTGTATCATCCTAAGTGACCACCTTAATGTCTTAATTGGTCGTCCAAGCGTACCTTTAATGCTCTTTGGTTGCGTTTCAAACACCCTCATTCAAAGCAATGAACAATGGATTTAGTTAAGGTGCTGGTATGGATACTTCTTGGAGTCAATTTGCTACTGTCGAGAGCAAGTAAGTGAGAAAAGAATCTATTATAATTCTAAAGTTTATGAAAGGCGAGCTCTCGATCGGTTGTCTAGTTTCATTATTTGGTTGTTTTCTAGATGGTGACGATTGATTCTAGACTATTTTAATCATCAAACTGATTAAATCAAACACTTCGCTTTCGCGATAAATCAAGAGAATTGCGAGATAAACCTCGAGGTAAAACGCGTTTTGACCAATTGATTTTAACAAGCATTTATCAAGAGCAACGGACAAGGATGGCATAATTATTTTTTTGAGAAAGAACTAATAGGGATCAAATTTATATATATTGAATAATGTTGTTCTAACAAACATATCAAAGAACCCTACATCCTACAATGGCTTTCATCTAGTTGCAGCTTTAAAGCTGTTTCCCCTGTGTATATCACGTCAGTATGGGTGTGTTGTATGAGAAAATTAATGGTTTTATACAATGTGCTGACTCTTACTTTCATTGTTTTGATATATTACTCTTCTTGCTTATTCAAGAGAAAACTAAGTGAATTGGAAGGATTCAAAACTGTTTATAGATTATTACTCGGGCTTTCCAAAGGAAACGCCCAAGTTAAAATTCCGCCATCGTTTTTTTTTTTGTCCAGTCGCAAATTGCAGTTAAGTCCTTAACACGCATGCGTGACGTTTTAATTCTGACACATGGGCGACGTTTTGGCCGATAAGCACATGCTATAGTATAATGGCGGAAGAAGAGCGGTTTGTGCGGTCCAAAATCAGCACAGATACTATGTATAATACGCTCAAAACGCATACAAAAATATGTACTTACCGTTCGCGGCAGACCCACACCAATGCAAGCACAAAAACAAAGTTTCTTTTCAACAGAGCAAGCGCAAATTTGCGTCTAGTTAGCGTAGCTTCTAGCGCCCGACAACGACATTGAATATGTGAATCAAAAACTAAACTTGTGTATGCTAATGCTTGAGTCGATCCGATTCCATCCATAGCTGTAGTAAAAATGATATAAGGAGAGATTGTGTTGTTTTCTCATCTTTTTCGTTATCTTATTCTTGATTGAAATCAACTTGTCGTAAAGCTACTTTTAAAGTTTCCTTGAAGCGCGATCTCTCTTAATACTTCCGCTGTATCATCCCCAGTCTCACCAAGAGTGACCGGAAATTGCGTTTATATCTTAATTGTTTGTGGAAGCGTACCCTTAATGCACTTTCGTTGTGTTTCGAATATCCTCCTTCAAAGCACTGAACGATGGATTTAGTGAAGGTGTCGGTATTGATACTTCTTGAAGTCAGTCTGCTACTGTCGAAAGCAAGTAAGTGAGAAAAGAATCTTTCATAATTCTAAAGTTCGCGAGGCGCGAGGTCTAGTTTCATTATTTCGTTGTTTTCTAGATGGTGGTGATTTTGATCAGCAAACTGATTAAATTAAACGCTTCACTTTCACGATGAATCAAGAGAATCGCGAGATAAACCTCAGGGTAGAACGCGTTTTGATCGATTATGACAAGCATTTATCAAGAGCGACGGACGAGCTAGGATGGCATTGTTTTTTTTTTGCTTTTTTTTTGAGGAGGAACTATAAGATGGTAATGATAAAATTTCTGTATGTTGAATAATGCTGGTTTAACAAACATATCATAAAACCCTACATCCTCCACTAGCTTTCGCCTAGTTGTAGCTCAAAAGCTGTTTCCTTTGTGTATATCGCTTCAGCATGGGTGTGTTGCATCAGAAAATTGATGGATTCTTCTCAATGCCTGTTCTTGATTAAAATCAACATGGTTTTAATATATTTTTGCATTTCCCTTAAAGCGTGATCTTTCGCCAGCCTTCCGCTGTTTCTTCCCAAGTCACACCTTGAGTGACCGAAAATTGCTTCGAAATCTTAATTGATCGTTCAAGCGTAACTTTGTCTTTCGTGGCGTTTGAAACATCATCATTTTGGCTTCCTAGCAACCTCGATGGCTCGTTCATCTCGATCAAAGTATTTAAAGTAATTCAAGCTGACAGTCTAGAAATACCATAAACGTAATTAATTAAGAGCGTCTTCACAGAAAGTATCTTTTTATCAGTTAGTGCTTAAAGGGAACTTTCATTTTTATTCAACACAACACTGTATAATTGAATAGAAAGTGCTAAAGTAGTCTGAGAAATCTTAGATTCTTTTCAGGCTAAATACAACAATGTTTTTGGGTCAGCAGTATATATCGAAAAGAGTATTAATGGTGGAAGCGTCAGATAAAAAGTAAAAATACATTCGTGCTTGATACACGTGCGCGTGTTTGGCTTTGACAGTCTTGTTTTAGCTCTACCAGGACGAATTACCTGTTTACAAGTGCAGAATTGAAGGGCCTGATACACATATCATACCACGATTTGCAAACAATTTTGTTTTTAAAGCTTGAGCACACTGTGGGAGGCAGTTGTTTAGTGTTTTACGATATATCCTGCTCTCGTTTTGCTAACTAAAACCATTTACGTAAAGAGTGATGCTGGTAAGCAAAATGTTTAGACTAACATGTAGATGTTTTTTGTTTATTTATTTGTTTATTTGTTTTGTTTTGCTCTTGTTTCGCTTTGTTTTGTTTTTGTTTTTTTGTTTCTTTTTAAGGCTGATTATTGAGTATGCTTGCTTGTTAAATGAAAAAAGATGCACTATATTTTCTTTGTTCAGTCAGTAATTTAACACTGTACTTGGCCGGACATATAGTGCCCACCGCACTTTAGATATTGCAATGTCTTCAGACACTACGAAACCATTTCAAACTTACAATCGATGCAGCTATTTTTCAGTAAACAAAGCCGAAATTAAGTTTTTGTGTAGTTTAAGTGAGGTAGTTGAAAATAGAGTTTAATAAAGTTAGTACACAACAGCTATTCTGCTTGTTCTACACACTAGCGTGTAGGATCCAACAGTGAAATACATCCGTATTAAGAAGGATACTGGAACTTTGAAATGAAACTTATCCCCGACACCGAATAAAAGACAACAACAACAACAAAAACCAAGAAACAAAGAAAAAAACCCAATGAAGAGAACAATAAACTATTTATGTTTTAGATCCATACCCAGAGCGACCAATAAGAACTGTTTACGTTCAACTAAGCTTGTTTTGGATGCTATTTAGCTTCAAAGAATATTAGTGTTAGAGCAATTTTTTTCTGCCTTTAAACTTTCTACCAAGGTGTTATCGGCTGATAAGGTTAATGGGTGTGTCTTTTTTTAATTTTTACATTCAGCTTTCGAGAAGTACTTCCATGGTTCCGGGTACATTTTCTTTGGGAGAAATGGTACCCGATACAATTGGGTTGGAAGCAAAAGAATCTGTAATGAACAGTCTGGATATAACCTTGTTTCAATCGAGAGTCGTGAGGAATGGAACTTCCTGAGGCAAACCATTCAAAGAGAGAATACCACTGAATACTTCATAGGTTTGTGGGAAGATACATCAACTGGAGTGTGGAGATGGTTAAGTGATAACAGCTCAGTGAATGCGTCCAGCAGAGGACATTGGCCCTGGGCAAGAGGAGAACCTAACAACAGAGGTGGTGATTATGAAGAGAACTGCGCGCAAATGTACAGAGACTATCTTAATAACTACGGGCTCTATAACGATGTCAGCTGTACTTCACCCAAATCTTATGCAGGATTCATATGTGAATTGACAGGTGCAGGAGATAATAGACTCTTAATTCTCACTACACGAATCTGAGAATAAGAATAAGTCAATCGTATTACGGCCCAGTCCTTCTCTCGAAAGTCAGTTACACCGCAGAAGATAGTTAAAAAGATTACATGACAGTATAAAAGAGAAAAAATCAACAAAGGCGACGGCGTCCACCATATGTGGTACCTATTAGCGTTGTAACTGTTGAGGACTTGAGCTATCCAGCAAATATGTCGGAACGATGATGTGAATCAATGCTGAATCAAGTTATAAGTAAAGTAAAGTGGCATAATCTTCCCCGACTTACTCTCTGAAATTCCTTCTTATCTTTAACTTTAAATTCATTCATGAAGGTAAATAGAAAAGAACAGACAAGCCTTAGTCAATATTATTAGCCCCAAATTAAATGGGGAATGGAAAGGAATGTTACTATTACCATTTAAATGATTGATTTCTAATATCTATACCATTTTATCATGTTAATTTTTAGGCTTGCCGGGCCAGCCATCCTCACTCTCTACAAATTCTGTTTCACCAAACGAAATTGTCATCTCTTGGAGCGCTCCTACTGATGTAGGGGATGGAATAACAAGGTACTGTGTTAAGTGGCAGGCAGCTGGAATATCCCACATTCAACAAAGAGTAGTTACAGTGAGCAGATCTGCGACATTGGACAAGCTAACGCCTTACACATGGTTTGACATCCAAGTGAGAGCAGAAACTGATAAGGGAAGTGGCCCTTGGTCAGTATCACTAAAAGTGAGAACTAACGAGTCAAGTGAGTAATGGAATGACCCATTAACATGTAAAATGATAACATGTTACATGTTAATTACCATTATTATCAATATACGCGGCCAAATAGAAAATCGGCCTCTTCAAAACACACGCTCAGCGGGCCGCAAAAGACTGACAGCGGGCTGCTAATGCATTATCAGCCCTACAGCTTACATGATGATTTGAAGTGACTTTGAATTCGTCATTCACTAGCTTGTATTATTAAAACTCGCATTCTTGATATCATTTGGCCTTGTTTATTGATAATAATGATAATGACATGACTTTTTGAGGGAATATTGTTTATTTGCGCCCTTGTAGTGCTTCGCGCTCGGGCCGCAAATGACACTACGCGGGCGCAAATAAACAATATTCCCTCAAAAAGTCATGTTATTCCCTTATTAGCATGTAAAATAACAATAACGCAGGTTACTCGACCCTTTGACCCTAATGAGTGACAACCTTTTTATTTCTCCTCACAATGTTACCTCTGAATCAAATACGAAGGTCAAGAGAATAAAGGAAACGATCATCAGCTGAATAAGCTCATAATTTTTAAACAAAATCCTTGTTGCACCCCAGGAAATGTAGAGAGAGCAGTATGGAGAATATGCATACTGATGTTAGGGTGCTAAGGTGTGTTCACTCCTATCTCATTAGTAATTCTCATCGCTATCTACCATTCAATTCTGATGATGGTATTTCAGTGAATTTGATATCTGATCAACTAATAAACTCCTAATTGATACTCTTCTTTATCTTCTCCACTTGTCTACTGTATTATGTTTATATTGTAAGGAGAAATTCTTTCTTGGTTACCTATGGGAGTTAAAGTGTTAATAAATGTCGTTAGTTCTTTTCCCACAGTTCCAGTAGTGGTAAAGGTCGATGACCTCGAGAAAGGCATCCTTTATCTGCCAATCGCTATTTCAGCAGCATTGTTGTTTATAGCGATGATCATCCTCACCGTGGTTTTCATACTGCTACGAAAAAACCATCAAGAAATGGGTACTTGGATTTTGTTTTCTTTTTTCTTTAAATTAAACTTGACTTTTAGTCATCTCTATTATCAAGGCAATTTAGGGGCAGGCTTGATCAACATATCATTCAGTAATAATTAAGCAATAGTTTTTTAAAAAAGCGATAAAACTTTTAAGTCTGTAAGACATGTTTCGACAGAAACTTCTGTCATCTTCAGTTAACTAATATACAAAGGATTGGAAATTGAATTGGTAATACATGTTTCTTTAAATTAGTTACTTGCCTGCTAATATCAAGACCCTTTTTAAACAATAGTTCTAGATATATAAATATATGTAATTGGTAAGTTAGCCAAATCTAAGAGTAGTGAGTAAAGGTGAAAAAAAAAATAATAACAACAATGATGAAAAGAAAAAAGAAAAAAAGAAAAAAAGAAGAGAAAAGAAAAACTGAGTTGTAGCGAAGAAATAAATTACAACCTCTTGCTCTAAAGTGTCCTGAACATACAATGCTATGCTGGCTTGTAAGACCGACTGGTTCTGGAAAAATCATACCTAAAGGATCATGAAATCACGCAACGACAAATCCGAGTAAAATGACGTGCCCAAAGGAAATAGTTGATCACATTACCAATAGGCTGCGCGACTACCTCTTAGCTGGGTAAGTTGTTAATGTGTCACCCGAGATACCGAGTACATGTATACGTTTTTACTTAAATGCTGCCGGACGAACCGACAAATCCGAAGTCTGGCGCAAATTTTTTTCCTTCTTCTTTTTTTTTTTCTTTTTTCCAACAACCTAAGTTGAACCCTTTTGAAGAAAACAAAAGTCATTTATTTCTGTGTTTACTGCTAACGGTGGTGCTTTATTTTATCCGCTAGCCTCAAGAAAAAAAGCTGTCAAAATGTAAGTTACTTCAATCTGTGTCACTTTTATTCGACATTTATTCAGCCTGGAGCACATGTAAATCAAGGCCGAGTTTATCCCTTAAACAATACATAAAAATTAACGATTCGTAAGGAATACATTTTCTCTGTGGCATCCATTTCAACTATTCACTTGGTTTGTTTTCGAAGTGTAACAAAGAGTTTTCGGCTGTTTTGGGAGGGTAGAACACTTACCCAGAAATGCAGAGACAGGTGGCTCTATGCTTTAAAACGTGACAAAAGCCAGACAGCTAATGCAGCTGTAGTTGCATAAAAGCCAGTGGACAAGAGCCTAAATAATTTTTTTCGATAGGCTGAAACTAGGTTTTTATGCCCATCGATGCAGAGATCGTCATTCCTATTCCAGAGTGGATTTGGCGATTTCTCGAAGGCGATCCACTGTCACTAGAGCACAAGGCATCCAAGCTGTCTATTAGAGAACAATATTACAATGCTTTAAATGGCTCTGCTCTGAACTCTGTAGATTTTCTAAGCTGAGTAGAAATCATATTCATGAATCTTCACCAAATAAATGTGGGGTGCTGGTCGTTGTTAGTTGTTAAAACTTGTCAAAGTTTTTTTGCATTCTTGTTGCCAGTCAGTCTTATTGCATTTTCAAAGATCACTAATAATAAACCTGGACCTTTTCTCTCTTTTCTATTTGTATGTTTATTTCTTTTCGCTCTTTATACAGGAACCAACGTGACTTTCAAGAGAGTTTGCCATTAAATGTTTTGAATGTTGGTGCCCGGCTAGAGTTTGCTTCGGGAAATGGAACCGGGATTGAGAGGTTCCATAGGGAACCGCTAGTCCAACAGGAGGGCGTATACACCGAACTGCTTCCGGAGTCAATGATGGTAATTATACTTATAACTAAATTAAAGCTAACCAATATGAGCCTCATAAAAAAGGGAAATAAAGGATGTGCGATACTTCCTTTTTTTTACTTTTTAGCTGTTCCTCTTTGCTCTTTGCCTGTGCCCCTTTCCCTGCACCTATATTGCTACTCTGACGCACCTTGACTGTGGTCTTTTAACATAAAACTTTCCATATTACATAAGTTTGATTGTTTTATCCATTTACCATTATTATTTATCCAATTTTATTCATCCGTTTATGTCCTTATTTTCCTTTATATCTATCTCAAACATCACTTGTTTGATTAAGACCATTTTAGAAATGCCGAGCAAAGAGATCTCATTTGGAAAAAAAGGCAATAAATTTTAAGCGCAGTATCTAACAAAACTTTCACTAGAAATGTATTTGAATGAATGTCTCATTTACGCTTGGCAGCGTTTATGGTTCGTTCATTTTTTTTTTTTTTTTTAATTTGCATTCGCGATTTTAGTCGTGTTTTCCAGCATTACCAAGCCTGCCAAGTCGATCATGACAATTTTTTTAACAAATAAAATTGAATGTTTTGCAGACCTCTGAAAACGATGGTTCCCGAACGTACACTTCCCTTGTGAAATCAACAGAAGACAGCGACATTGAATATATGAATCAATTACTTGCTTCTGAGTATGTTAATGTTTAAGTGGATTGTTCGTATTTAAGATGAATAGCGCTAATCCTTAAACTGAAGCTGAGATAAACAAAATGCCGATGGTATGTGTCTCTGCGAAGCTGCTATTTCCACCCCCCTATCATGTAAACACTTAAATAAAGAGGAATAAATCATTACCTTGTCTTTCAGTGGTTGGGCTATTTTAACATCTCTGTATCGATTATGTACTCATTCCTTTTCTTAGGGATATTTCCTGTGTCTGCAAAATGCTTGGTCTGATTGATTGTCTGACTGTCGTCCATAATATCATTTACATTATTGAATGAATTCGACTTCGATTTTCCAATTCTTGGTTTTCACCCGCGTGACTTTTGTCTTGACGACGGCTGCTATCCGCCCTGTTGGTGCCCAAACAATTAGTTACAAATGCAATCGTAGTAAGGTGTGTGAGAAAGTAGGAATGGTTCTTTGTGTAGTTTTCGGCTGTGGCAGCAGAAGTGATCGGGACAAAGGGATTGGATTTTATCGAATACATCAGTTATTAAAAATAAGTCTTCCTTCAAAGAAAAATTGACAACAGAGATGAGAAGAAATTAGATACAAGCGATAAGTCGCAGCGACACGATGTGAGAATAAAGATAAAGATAGACCAGCACGGACTCCCCATGTGGCTTTCGTGGTCGCGTCGCATTACTGCCTTCAAATTATATTTTTTGCTCTACAAGCATGTCTTAAAGATTCTTCCTTTTTATAAAAGATGATCGGAAGCTTTGTAAAATTTGTTTTCAGTAAAGGCTGATTGTGTATCGGACTCCACTAGTCCATCAATATTTGTTTTAAATTTTTAACTGCCGGGTGGTACGTTGTGACGAAAGGCAATTAACGTTCGTGACCTTTCGGCTTTTGTGTATATTTAAAGGCCGATTGTCAAGAGGCAAAGCTGACCCCTGCCAGACACCTTTCTATGATGTTTTCTGGGTACCCTCTTACTTCGAGGCTTTTCTTGAATTTCAAACGGCCCACTTCAAATGTTTTTTCGAAGAGTTAGTTCTAGGCTATCTTATTGCTTGCCTTCAATGAACCATATTTTACGCCTGGTGGGTGGCACGAGGCGAAGTGCGTAATTGGAAAGTCTCGGTCTGCCTCTAATGAGTTTTGATATCCCAGATGAAATTTTTTGCGAATCTTTTCCTGTTGAAAACCGTGGTATCGAGAAAAGTGATTTGGTTGATTCTCTTATATTTCAGCCGTGAATTTGATAGTAGGGTGGAAATGGTTATCCCGTTTAATTAACCGATTTACCTCTTTCCTGTCGCAATCCCAAAGGGAGAAAACGTCATTAATGTAACTTTTCCATTCTTTTGGTTTGGTTTCGCTTTAATTGTTGGATTAATTTCTTTTCGGTTTCCGCCATGAAAATATTGGCAAATGGCACTGCTATTTTCATACCCAAAGCGGTTCCTTGTTTTTGGAGGAAGCTCTCCTCAATGAATTAAAACGAATTTTCTTTAAGGATTAAGCCAAGCATTTCCTTGAGGTAGTGCGTTGGGATCAGTGCGTTATGATTGAGGAACTTTTCGTATGTTTCTCATACTATATTTGTTCCTTTTTCTTGACGCATATTTGTGTACCACTTTCTGCGACAATCCAGATGTCTACAAGAGGATCGTTCATCTGCTGCTCATATCTCACCTTCGCCAAAACTACAATCTTGTTAACAATCTATGCTCCTTGAACCGATGTTACGAAGCCAGACACCATTAGGTTGAACGCCTCAAGACTTTTGAATGCTTCAAATTGCTTATTTGCACAATAACTTGTCTCCAGGACTTAATTAGAAAGAAGGTTCGAGACTTCTATCGGAGACAGACATTCTGAGTTGAATTCAGTGCTCGCTTCGAATGGCTACTGGATCGACACCAACCACATAAATTTTCTTAAAATATCGCTCTCGAACGTGGCTTTCTAGGTCCTCCGCTTAGGTCAAAAGCACAGGTATCCTAAGGAGAATATTCTCTTGTAATTCTGGATTTTTTTCACCGGAAATATCCATAAAACAAAGTATTTGAAAGAGGGTGCGGTAGAGATGGCGATATATTTGCATGAAATTTCACACCCGAGATGAGCACCAACATGGCGGACGCTTAATTTGCATAAATGTATGACGTCAGCTGCAAACCGAGAATAGCGAATAAGAGAAAAGCGGTTGAATCTGCTGTATTGTCTTTGTTGTTATTTTGTTGTTCTCTTTAAATTGGCGGGAAAATGAATGAAAAAGACAAACAAGAAAATAACTACAGAAATCTCTTCACTTAATTACACTGAAAAAACTATGCTCGACTTCCTAATTCTGTGCTTCCCTACCGATGCAACGCAAATGTTATTGAGAGGAATGCGTGGCAAACCAATTGAAATATCGTAGGAATCCCTCGGGGGTTCACGCGTCTTAAATGACGCTCAAGACTTTGATCATCTGCAGGGGTTCAAGCGTCTTGAATGACGCCCAAGACTTCGACCTTGGAATGTGGAGCACTTAGTTCAAGGTCGATCAGTTTGTTAACCATGTCTTCCAACATACCAAACCACCGGCATAAGCTTAAAAACAGTGTTTGGTAAGGCAATCGTACGTATACCAATGTCATTATTTACAATAGCTTAATCGCTATATCCAATATATATATATATATATATATATATATATATATATATATATAATATATATATATATAATATATATGGCTCGTTTAAGACGATACAGACTCAAAGAAGACTTACAGTCCTTATACACTTAGAATACACGATATCTAAACCTAAAATAAATTGGAAATTCGCTATCTATGAGGAAGATCATGACTAACTATCATGTGCGTCTGTCTCATGGCGGGGAAGCAACGAAAGAGAGAAAAAAAGAGCGTTTCAAGACAATGGGGCCAAAGAAGACAAGCAGACACTCTAAGAGAGTATGACAACCAAGCGCTTGATCTTTTGAGCCATATGACGTCGAAAATTGTCACGCTATTGTCCATTCCAAGAAAGTGAACATGTCTAGGCTAGAGTATGCTAGGTTATTTGGTGCAACGATAAAAGAGAGTGTGAAACGTACTGCAAGTTGGGCTTCATATTATAACACCAGTCGAAAGTCCAGGCACCCAAGGCCCGACACAAAGCTGTCTCTCGATAATGTACCGTTGATGATTCCTCTACCTGCAGTCAACCTTCCTTCAAATGACTGCGACATCTTACGAAACTGGACCTCAGCATATGGTTCAGTAGTAAGACAAAGGACAGTGTGGCAAAATGTTATGGCCATCATTGCAATATATACGGATTGCCCCTTTCATTGGACTAATAATACGATCACAATCATCCTTGGCAGATTGTGGTTCAGAAAAATCATACCTTTAGAATAAGAAAAGGAAGTATCTCGGTTAGAATAACTGATCTATCAATACCTGTCATACTAATACAGATTTTGCTAGGTAAGCTCAGTGTATGCTCTTACCTCTACTATCACATTCTGCCCATCGTGAAAATGTTAAAATGGAAATTATACTTATAACGATTCTAAAGAAGAGGCAACAAAAGGACAACACGGTAAATAAATAAACCTACTTGAATTCTCCCAGAATATCCTTTGAGAAAGGTTAGCATTCATTCACTACATGTACTGTGTTTATAGCAATTATATGTAAACTATGGGGTTTAGCAAAAATGCGTTTTAATCTGCCTTTAAGGGGGTCGACAAGGGGTCGACGATATGCAATGTTTCAAGAGTCGAGAGGATAATTACGTTCCAACAGTACAATATCAAAAGATTTTGATCTACTTTGTTTGTGTCACCACTTCCTATAATCAACAGAAACAGCATGAAAGTCCTAGTTCTGAAGTCGATCAAGCCAAGAGTCCGTATGATTTAGAAAGGCGCATGCAACTTCAAAGAATGTGTGCGCGTTGTAATTTAACAAGCCTTTTCAACTTACCTCATCACCTTGATTCCAGCGCGTGTACCAACGTTAGAGGCAGCTGCAATTAAATTATTGTTGTGGTAATAGCCTGCGCCATCTGATGGCAAAAATATCTAGTTTACGGTAGGCTTGATCTGTTTAATGTTGCCGAGAAGGTTTTCCAGAATTGCGCAAACCGCATACCAGTCTTAAGCACAACTTTCGAATAGATGAACATATGACATAATCGCAAGGCCGTTGTCCTCTGCATTCCAAGTAATAATTGGACTTACATGTCAATATATTGCTCAATATATTTCGAACCACTCAGACTGCTTTTCTCTGTATTCAATTGGATGAACCTCATGGCTCAGTCAATGAGGGAGGCATTCTTTTGGAGGGACCTGAGTAAATTATGTTTTTCTCTCTCCTGGTTCTTACTCCTGATGATATGCACCCTCCACTAAAAAATCACCTCTCTGGCTCCATCGTGGTCGTGATTAGGTCTTCTTTCTTCTCTATGTTGTCAAAAGTTATCAAAGGATATTCAATTCCTTTTCCGATTGCCTGAATCACGGATTTCAAACTTTCGCAACTATCACAGCTAGCTTGATGTTCATGGGAACAATTTCCTTGAAACTCAGGGTTTTGGGAATCACTTGAAAAAACACATATAATGGTCAGGGCAAGGACAACCATCCGTCCTGACAGTGCATCCCACACTCTGTCTTCAAGTATCGCTTGGCACCCTTAAGAGTTCTCCGAACGTCTTCACACCACTTTGTAGTTGCCCCACCCTCTTCCAATTCCTTCACTATCTTGTGCATTGCTTCAAACCCTACCGCTCCGCTTACAGCAGTGTTGTCTAGCCCTCGAAGGGAACGCCTTTGAGAGGCCTCTCTTACTTGTAAAATTCTGATGACATTTGGCATGACAAGGTGATCCCCAGAGCCAAGTTTTAAAATCCTTGTTCCATAGGCCAAATCTTGGTAAAAATATGGTTGATCTACAAAAAGTTTATTCGGACTCTGTGGTGTAGCATTTCGTTGACGTTGAAGCCAGCTCCAACATTTTTGGAGTAAGAAAGAGACTTACTTTTATTAGGGTAACACTACACAGTAATTCAAATTACTGAAAAACCTGTGGCCCTCTTAAAGTAAAATACACAATCGAAAACCTACACATATTTTTGTTTCGTTTTTGTTTGTTTGTTTGTTTGTTTTTGGAAAAAAAGTGATTTATAAGTAGACAAATGCAAATTAATTAAGGAATAAAAGCTGTAGATATGATTTATCAAGTAGTTTTATCAAGGCGATGATCTTATCGGTTCCAAATGCATCCGAAACTAACCGAATTTAAAATATATCAAGCTATCCGATATTCTGCCGTCCATAGACATGAATGAGAGAGAGCTAAACAGGAGGATAGACGAAGGGGAAAAAATCTGAGTTAAAGCTTTTTCCTTAATAGTGTTGCAAAGCTTCCAAGACATTGCGTGACCCTGACGATCTCAACCCCCGTCGGCAAAGGTTTTAAAGAACAATCTAAGAAATATCCAACGATTTCGTAAGGGCGAATCATTCTTACGATCCTTAACGAAAACTTCCGAAAGCGTACGGATATTTTCTGACACCCAAATGGCCAAAGGGATTGTGGGATGCACGTGTTTGGTCCTTTATAGCCTTGAAGCGCGATCTCTCGTAATATTTCCGCTGTATCATCCTAAGTCCCACCTTCAGTGACCAGAAATTGTGTCTATATCATACTTGATATTTGCGTTTCAAATTTCCTCAGCAAAAGCATTGAACGATGGATTTAGCTAAGGTGCTGGTATTGATACTTCTTGGAGTCAATTTGCTACTGTCGAGAGCAGGTAAGTGTGAAAGGAATCTTTTATAATTCTAAAGTTCCTGAAGGGCGAGCTCTCGATCGAATGTCTAGTTTCATTATTTGGTTGTTTGCTAGATAGTGGCACTTTATTTAAGACTATTTTGATCATCAAACAGATTAAACGCTTCACTTTCGCGATGAATCAAGAGAATCGCGAGATAAACCTCGAGGTAGAACGTATTTTGATTGATTATAACGAGTATTTATCAAGAGCGACGGAAGAGGATGTCATATATATATATATATATATATATATATATTTTTTTTTTTTTTTTTTTTTTCGAGAAGGAACTAGTGGATGGTAGTGATCAAATTTATATATATTGAATAATGTTGGTTTAACAAACATATCAAAGAACCCTACATCCTCCCCTGACTTTCATCAAGTTGTAGCTTTAAAGCTGTTTCCCTTATGTAGATCGCTTCAGTACAGGTGAGTTGAAGAGAAAATTGATGGATTGATACAATGTACCAAATTTTCCTTTATCAACTGTTTTGATATGTTACTCTTCTTCCTTGTTCAAGTGAAAACTAGTGAATTGGAAAGATTCGAAACAGTTTTAGATAATTAATGTAATATTTACCGCCCGACAGCGACATTGAATATGTAAATCAAGTACCTACTCCTGTGTATGTTCGTGCTTGAGCGGATCGAAATCCATGCGAAACTAACTGAATTATCCTTAAGGCCATTAACCATTTATACATGAATAAGTGAGAGACAGGAAGTTAGATGAAGGGGAAAAAATCTTGATTTGAAGCTTTTTCCGCAATTGGGGCGTAAAGTTTTCAAGAAAATGCTGACCTTGACGATCTCATATCCCGCCGGCAAAGCTTTACTTGAATTAAATTAGAACGCTTTGCTTCTCCTTTAATAATCTAAAGCTGAAGAGAAAAGTTGACAGAAAGACTTTGTTCTTTTGTTCTTGATTAAAATCAACTTGTTTTTTAAATATTTTTGCATTTTCGTCAAAGCGTGTTCTTTCGTCGGTCTTCCGCTGTTTCCTCTAAAGTTACACCTTAAGTAACCGGAAATTGCTTACAAAAATCTTTATTTGTCGTTCAAGCGCAATGTTTCTTTTCAATGCGTTTTAAATATCATCATCTAAGGATGAACGATGGATTTAGTGAACGTGAATGTATTGATACTTGTCGGAGTTGATTTACTGCTGTCTATTGCACGAAGTGAGAGAGGAATGTGCGATAATTCTAAAGTTCATAAAGTGCGAGCACTTAATTTGAATTTGAATTTCTATTAATATGAATCTAGACATCGATAACTGAGACGTCTGGACTGTGTACAGGCAGGTTACATAGTAGTCCTTTCCTTAATAGCCTCCGATAAAGCCAACGGCTACGCAGCACGTTAACGCGTTTTTATTGTGAAATTACGTTAGTATATTACCGCTTAGGTATCTGTGCACCTGTTATTACCAATAAAGCAAGCAAGCATGTAAGCATCAAATCTATATGTAGCTTCCAAGAAAGTTTTAGTTTCCCTCCCACCCACACCATTTAAAATTTTGATTGCTTTTCTCACTGAAAAAACTGTATCGCTACAGACAGTGACATTCAAACGTTTCTAGATGGGAGGAAAACCATACGGAAAGAAAAACCGAAAGTTACATATTCAGTGACTGGTAATGACATTTCTCGAGACTGTGAACGAAAATCGGCAATTGAAGATTTGCTAGAGGCCATTTTGCCCCTATACTCGAAAGATTTCTTCTGACGGCAAGGAGCAAGTCAGTAACTGAGAATTTTGTACATGGGAAATTACGCCCATCTTTTGTTTTCGTCGTGTTTCAACGCATTTTTTCATCTTGAGCCTTAGCGCCAACTCGTTTTCCAATTTTTACTCAGGCATTGTCGATTCTTTTTATTTTTATTCATTAATAAAGTTCACTTTTCTTGTCAGTAAAGGCTATTCTGTCTATATGATATGCACCCTGGGCACTAAATTGAATCATTACGGTAACCCTTGAACTCCTATGACTGACCAAAACAGAATTTCTCTTTACATTATCGATGCAATGTTAAGCAGGGAATTCACGAGTATGGGAGTTTTCCTTATGAAAACTCTTATTGCTGTAATGATTATAATTCACAACACTTTTTAGATCTGCGATAACTGGTTCTTATCTTGTCTTTTTGTCTAAAAGTGGATACGCTTTATGAGCTGACAATGCATTTTTAATGATAGAAGAATTTGCTGGCATATCCTTTGAAGTTATATTTCTGCTTTTCTGTATTTCCTCTTAATGAGATCCAGCAAGTATTAGCGTACACAGGTCTGCATATATACATGTATGACCTTATTTGTACTTTTAGATGGAGGTGTTATAAATTCTACAGAACTTTATTTATCTGTAGCAATGGTACTAACAATGGAACAAGTAAGCTGTGGAGCATTTTAATTACATAATTTCCCCTAATTTCAGTAACAGAGAAATGGTATTATACAAATGCAAGGGGAATTACTTTACTCTTGATTCAGTTTAAGATTGTAGCAACAAATTTGTGTTAATTTCAAACCCTTGACATGGTTTTCAGATGTTTTCCAAAATGGAATACCAAGATTTAAATTAAACCCGGGACATCGGAGCACATACACTTTAGTCACCTTAATCTTATTATCTTCTGGATAATACTCTTAGTCTTAGGTGGTATTTGGATTTTTTTCCTACTGGATGGAGTCAAAATTACCACATGAAAATGTACAATATTAGGATGCAAATCCGGACCAATCCCTAGCCCTTTGCACCCAACATTAGTATTCATATTGTCCACACTGTTCCTTTTACATTTCCTATGATTCTGACAAGGAGAGTTTGGTGATCATTTTCTTAGTTTATTATGACACTGAAATAAGAAATAAGAAGCCAGTAGCCCTTAGAGGGTAAATTCGGTGTAGAACTCTTGAGAACCAAACCAGTGAGTGGTGCAACTGTTTTTTATGTAGTATATCATCCTTTTGCCTCATCAACGAAAGAAATATGATGATATGGAACACTTACACATACATAATCATCGACTGAAATGACGTTGACCCATGAAGATCAACTCGATTCAAAGTAAAATATATTCATAACCTTTTTTTCGAGTATATATACCAAGTTTTTGTATAGGAATTTCTTGTTTCCATTTAATACACCTTGACATACTGGTTATATTAAATGGAAGTTGAGAATTCCTGTGAACCTAACCATTTTATATTAAATATTTTTTTACAGGTACACAAGCTTCCAGTTCAGGTATGATAATGCACACTTTTACGTGTTATTACTTAGTATGAACTGGTCACTACTTGCTCTCTGATGGGTCATGGCCTATTAGCTTTCAAAGTACAGTAGTTTTTGTTCTTTTCTTGTTCAAAATCATTCAAAAAATCGTTCTCTTCTAACTTAGCTAGTGTGGATATTTAGAATAGTCCATTTTACAGTTACATACTTAGTTGCCAAGTCTCTGAACAGTAGTGAGGCTAAGGGTGATAATGATACAAAACATTGCTGTTTTTCAAATGTAAATTACTTTGTTATCGTGCTAGCTAGATACTGGTCTCTATCACAATAAGGTTACCTTCGGCTTCTCTCCAAATCAAAGCCTTGGCAAAACCAAAACAGTTCTTTTCAAACCTTCTTTAATAGCTCAGTACATAAGATTGCATCCCACAAACTGCTCCAACACTTGTGCTCTCAGATTTGAGCTTTATGGGTGTAATTTGACCACAGGTGAGGGAGAATATTGCAAGCTGTTGTAATATACATTGATGGCGTCAATTTAAATAGGGAATGCAAGGGAATGTTATTATTGCCATTTAAGTAATTTATTTCTAATATCCATATTATTTTATCACATCTATTTTTTAATTTTTTTAGGCTTGCCTGGTCAGCCATCCTCACTCTCTACAAAGTCTGTGTCATCAACCAAAATTGTAATCTCATGGAGTGCTCCTACGGATGAAGGGGATGGAATAACAGGGTACTCTGTTAAGTGGCAGGCTGCTGGAGAATCCAAAATTTACCAAAAAGAAGTTACAGGGAGCAGAACTGTGACACTGGATAAGCTAACACCCTACACATTGTATGAAATCCATGTGAGAGCAGAAAGTCTTAATGGGGATGGCCTTTGGTCAGGTCCACTGAAAGTGAGAACAAATGAGTCAAGTGAGTTATAAAATTACCCATCAAAATGTAAAATAATTTCTATAACAAGGTTCACACAGGTTACTCAACCCTTTGACCCCAAAGAGGGATAAGCTTTTTATTTCTCCCACAATATCACCCCTGAATCAAAGGTGAAGGTCATGAGAATAAATGAAATGATCACCAACGAAAGAAGCTCTTGAACGTTAAAAAAAATCCTTATCAACACCTTTTGCATAAAGAACAGGATGGAGAATATGCATACTGATGTTAGGGTGTTAAGGTGTGTTCACTCCCACAATCTTATTTTTTAATTCTCATTGCTTCTACCATTCAATTCTTATGATGTTAGTTCTGTGAATTTGGTATTGGATCAACGAATAGTCCCCTAAGTGATACTCCTCTTTATCCTCTCCACTTGTCTCCAGTATTGTATTTATATCGAAAGGAGAATTTCTTTCCTGGTTACTTATGGGAGTTGAAGTGTTAGCCCTTTAACCCCTAAGAGTGACTAACATATTATTTCTCCTTACAAATATCACCCCTGAATCACACACTTAGGTTATGAGAATAATGGAAATGATCAACAGAAGCTCTGGATCATTAAGCTAATTCTCCTTGTCATCACCTTAGGAAATGTATAGAGAACAGTGTGGAGAATATGCATACTGATGTTAGGGTGTAAAGGGTTAATACATGTGGTTAGTTCTTTTCCCTTGTAGTAGCCTAACAAATTGAGCAATTTATGAAAAATTTAGGTGTGGGCATTGTGTTGTCCACATGTACTTATGAACTCAGAGACTCTTATGGGCACTGTGCATACAAGTGTGCAAGTATGTATGTTGCCACATTGAAAAGCTGCAAATTCATAAAAAAAATGTATTATGTACTTGTATGGTGTGACATGAAGTGTCTTATACATGTAAGAAAGTAGGCAAGACATTTCATGGAAAGTGCATGTTCCTTATAGATACATGTACTGACAATCCTGACTTAAAAGTGGTACACATGCAGTAGGTCCTGATTTCACATTGCATTCGCTACATGGCTTTTATAAAATGTTTTGACCCAAATGCCGTCTTACCCAGAAAATGTATCCTCTTTCTATTAGGTGCCCTCTGCGAATAAGACCCTCCTCCCCCCTTCTCTGTTCATAATGTCAAACAAGCTCCCCTCTTAAACAAGCTCCCCTCATCTTCCCTCACTTTCTTAAATAGTCAAGACTCCAGGAAAACCTGTTTCTATGGCCACTTTACTTGTAACTTTTAAAGTTTCAATTACAGTAGAATTAGTCACTAATTAATCTGCATTTAACCCTTTAACTCCCATGAGAGACCAAGACATAATTTCTCCTTACAATATCAATACAATATCAACCACATAATTAGTTGATCCAATACTAGATTCTCTGAAATAACATTGTAAGAACAGTATGGTTGATAGTAGGGAGAATGACAAATTTGATCTGGGAGTTAAAGGGCTAACTAAATATGTTGTTGTTTCTCTTCTTGATGTTGTTGCTCTTCTTTTTGATGACAGTTGCACTTGTTTGATTATTTTCAAAGCTCCCACTGCTGCTCCAGGAAACTTTAAAGTCAGTTCTAGTTCCTCTCTTTCATTGGACATATCTTGGGATGCCATTCCTAAAAAAGAACAGAATGGAGAGCTGTTGGGTTACTATATTTACTACAAGGTGAATGGATCTGCAGTAGAGTATAACAAGACTGTTGGACCGCAAGAACTTTCAGATAAACTTACAGAACTTGAGTTTACAACCTATGTTGTTCGAATGGCTGGGTACACTGTTGCTGGTGTTGGTTTGTCTACCAAAGCTGTGAGCATACAGCCAAATGAAGGAGGTAAGGGAGCTATTTTTTACAACTTTTTGCCAACAATTTGGTTAAAAATAGTTTTTATTGGTTAGATTAGCTGGAAAATGTTATGATTGTTATAATTTTTGGCTTCTTGCTGTTTGAAACTAGTTTGATTTTTCAAATCTACTCTTTTAACAAACAATAACAACAACAACAAAAAAACACTGATATGAACATGAATATAATTACATAATTTATATAGTTTTGGTCTTAAACTGTTATTTTAGCTTGAATACATGCAGTATTCAAATTAGACTACTGAAATGAAATGTTATATTTGACTTGTTCCAGCTCCTACAGCTCCTAGGAATTTCAAATTGACTGTTGAGTCATCCACAGCGATTAAAGCGTCGTGGAGTGCGCCCTTGAAGTTTAATGGTGTCTTCAAACGTTATGTGGTGAGGTATGGTTTATCAAAAGATGGAATGAATACACAGGTGTACCCCACAAACACAGAGTACTTACTGACCCCACTGGATGAGTTCTCTATTTACTATGTTCAAGTCCATGCTGAAACGGCTGTTTCTGGGCCTGCCTCCAGTATTCTTTCGGAAAAGACAAAAGAAGATGGTTAGTGCAGTTATAGGTTGTTGTTGTAATTGTTGTTTATTTTTGCTTTGGTATTCGTTCATCAATGTCTGCAGGTGGCAGCCACATGTAGCATCCAAATAACTTACAAGTACCACGCGATACTTTCAATGTTTGCGTTACTTCATGTTACAGGTGTTTATTGTTTTTGGTTAACAAATGTTTTCTCCACGGATGACGTACTGAAGGTAAAGAAATGCAATAGATCTTTAGAACCAAAGCATGAGCACAGCTAGAAGATAATGGGTTCATGACCATTAGCTATTTGCCTTTGAGAATGGTTACATGTCAAAAATACGTCATGTTTAATATCGGTCATATCGGTCATCGATCTTCTTAGATACAACATTCTAAGTTTAACGAAGATGTTAGCTGACATAGATCTTCTAATTCTTTTATTCTGACTTGCAACTACAGCTCCCAGTTCCGCTCCAGTCATTAACAAACAAGAGACAAAGGCCGAGGATGCGCACACCATAAGAGTCAAATGGAATGAAATTAAAAAAGAGGATCAAAACGGCCTCATATTGGGATATGAGGTTTCATACAAAGAAACAGGAACAGAAAAAGTGTTAAGTTTTAATGCAACAAATACAAACACAATAATCACGCGCTTGAAGCCATTTACGTCATACTGCATTCAAGTTCGAGGGTTTACAAGTGTAGGAAAGTCACCACTGAGCCCTTGCTCAGATGTCAAGACATTGGATAAAGGTATGCCATCATTGAATGTAGTTTGATTCATCATCATCCTTGAATTAAGGAAATGTGATTTGAGAGGTTTTTTTCTTCGGGGAAATAAAAGACGACGACAACAATAGAAAAAATAGCTAAATAACTGAGTGAGGCTTTGATTGGTTTAAACTACACTCAATTTCTGATGAAAAACTTCTGTTTCTGTTTTTCCAATAGTTGTTTTTCTTGAGGTGCTCGTGGCACATTAAACTCTCTAATCAAAAATAGCCTAAAACCTGCTGGGCTTTTCGTTTTACTAGATCTTAATCTTTTTTGTTGTTTTATATTTACTTTATTTTGTTTGTTTGTTTTTCTTTTTTCTTTTTTCTTCATTGTGTTTATTTAAGCCACTGAGTAATTACTAACCACTCAAACTTATTCAAATCTTGTACTGTTATTGATTTTAAAAGGTCCAAGCCATCCGCTCAATGTTAAAGTTCAGGCCGTTTCTTCTGTTTCAATTATTGTAACGTGGGAGGAACCAGCTCACCCTAATGGAGTCATAGGAGAGTATATAATATTGTATGGAACCAGCAAGGACGTACAAAGTTATGAGCAAAAAGTGACTGGAAGCACGCGTAAACGTATTATAGACGGCTTGAACAAATATACCACTTATTATGTGAAAGTCAGGGGTCTTACATCGGAACCGGGAAATGCTTCTGAAGTATTCAATGTCACAACTTTCGAAGATAGTAAGTAAATACTAATGATTCATGGTTTTCAAGTGTTACTTGTATTCCGGGAAACTAGATTTTTCATGTTTTAGAACGTCGGACTACCGTGGTGGAGGTCGTGGGTTCAAGTGCCAGACATTTATTTGCTGTAGGAAACAATTGGGAAGAATTAATTTTGAATTAAAAGAGAGAAGATGCAGCGACTACTGGAATGGTCAATTATAACAATGACTTATGATGAATTATGATGAATTGTACTATTGATTCCATGATAATCTTGAAGTGGTTGATGACAATGAATGTTGGAAATAGTTCATGGCTCGTGAAAAGCTCAGCGGTCGCCTTTGCTTCGTGATTTACATGCTTTTCTCGTTCTCATCTTCTTACGATCGTATTTACACTAAAATAACTATAGAATGGGAACTCCGTCGCTTAAATAACTGATTGCATGATCACTTGTTCGATGGATTGGCGGGTTGAGTATTTTTGTTTATTCTTATTGTTAGTTTAATTTATTTCCTTTTTGCATCCTAGGTCCTGGACCGCCAAAGGAGTTTAGGGCTCAGGTTGTAACAGCTACTGATGTTCATCTTACGTGGAAGGAGCCTGATAATTCTAATGGAATTGTAAGGTTCTATTACATAAAGATCTACAATACTAAAACCGGCTCACAGGTCGGAAACGTACACAACCAGAGCGCTGACGAGGAGTCAGACATGCAGCAACACAGAAGGCTGATACGAGGTCTCAAGTATTATACAGACTACACGTTCACAATCCAGGCCGTTACAATTAAACCTGGGGAAATGGCTAACGCCACAGCAAGAACAGAGGAAGGAGGTATAGTCCTTACCTTTTCATATTGAACGAAGCTGGTTGAAGATTTTCTCTCTTCTCTTCTTTTCTCAATAAATGAAACCATTTGTACGGGTAATCACTTGATTGCGAGAGCAATTTGGAATAAATAAGCACGAGTAAATTTTTTCAATTCGAATAAGTAAAGATTTGGTAAAGCATTTGACAATAAAAATCTGCGATAAAATATTATAAAGCATAACACGACGTTTCGACGTTTCCAGAACGTCATTATCAAGTAAACTAAAGTAATAAAATCGAGTATATATATAATGAAACGGTGAATAAATTACAAAGCGTTAAAAGTTAAACAAAGAGTTTGGCCCTAATGGAATCGCTCTGGGTGTTTAAATTGGGCCTTATTGTTCTTATGTACAACATTTCATAAACAAGACAATCCCATTTCGTGCCACATTTTTTAAGCATTCTAAACTGGCACTCATTGAGTAAGTCAATGTTCCCATGGGCATCTCTCAGGTGGCGACCAATGGCAGAGTATCGATGATCAGCAATGCGTTGAAACAAATGGCGCGTCGTATATCCGACGTAATTTGAATCACACAAATCACATTTAAAACAGTAAACAACGCTATGCTGATTTACGATGCGTGGCTTGATTTCTTTAAGCTTTAGGTCCTGCTCTAGTTTCTTACTGGTGTAGACTGGTTGTACATCAATGCCAATTTTTGAACTGAGATCGCGCATTTGTCTTTTGGCAATGTTCACTGAGACTTGATCTTTGAAAGGAATACTGACTCTTAAAGTTTCATCAGATTTTGTCTTAGTATCTGGTGTAGAGGAATAATCACATTTGTCGATAATACAGTTCACCAAAGAACTAGGGTAACCAAGGCGATGAAACATAGATTTTAGATGCCTACACTCATCGACGAATGCTTGATGCGTAGAGGACAATTCCTTTGCACGATGAACCATTGTTTTGATAAGACACTTCTTGTAGCGCAAATCGGTGTAAATTTTTTCAAAGACTAAAAAAATTGCACAAACCTACGAATTCGTGTAATTTACGGGTAATCCTGTTTTTCATTTACGGGTATCTTGTTGATTTACAAAAACCGTTATACGCCTCTAAACACCGTAACTTACTGGCTGGTATCGCTGTTTGTAACGTTTGAGATAAATTTTGGTTCTGACAGCCTGGAAGCACCTCGTCTAGTTATTAAACGTTCGCACATGCGCAGATATTCTACTCTTCCATTGACACCACTAATTGTTCTAGGTCTGTTCCGCGAATGGTACACGCATGGGAACACTAACACTTCAAGTTTTTTCACACTGATTACAATTTAACTCCTCGTTCCGTATCTTCGTCATACAATTTTTTCATGTCAAAGCAATTGTTATGATTTGTTTTAGTCCCAAGTCAGCCTAGAGATGTCACTGCGAAACTTGACAAAGATGAAATTTCTGTCACATGGAAAGATCCCCAGGACCACAATGGAATTATCACCAAGTACTCGGTGAGCTACGCTGCAAAAATCCGTTCAATATCAAACCTAAATTATTTAAACAGGCGTACTAATGGTCTTGAAGAGTGCAAGTGACCTTTTAGTCTTAGCTGAAAATTATCTTGTAATCTTGTATTTTTTTTTTTTTATTACAAGTCAAGTGAGACCCCAACAACAGCCACAACTACAACAAAAAAGATAGGCCCATTTTAATAAATTTTGCATGAGATATAGCCTCACTGCGCTATTTGAGTGTTTAATTGTGTTTACTTTGTTTTTTGTCTCGTCTTGTTTTTGTTTAGTGTTTGTTTCGTTGTGAATTGTTCATTCGTTCGTTTTTTCGAGCTTGATTGAAATGTGTGATGACTATTCTGCCAGAATGCATTTTGCCATGCTCATGTAATCGAAAGCTTCAATTTTTGAGGGACTATGCCTTAGTGATGAGCACACTTTGGAGGTTTATGGTTCTATCATCGGTTTCCGTCGTATGATGTTCTTTTCAGTAATAACACATGTAGGCTTTCAACCACTGCACATTTCCTGCCATTGGAACCCTGAAGTTTAAGTGTGTACATTTTCTCTGAATTCAGAACAAATTTTCCCCTTCTCAATGCCACTGCAGTTGTTTGCTTTTCTCTCTCGATTTTCAGGTATACTTTGAGGGTAAAAGAGCATATAACACTTCATTTCGACACAACCACGAAATAGTTTTAGACAAAACCTCTCGGAGCACTGAGATACGAGTGGAAAATTTGAAGCCTGGTACAAAATATAGTGTTTATGTGAAAGCAAAAACAGCCAAAGGATATGGAACCGCAAGTGATCCTGTGGAGCTGGACACACCATCAAAACGTATGCTAAATGTTATGTTTGTTCGTGTGAACATGAAGAACTGTAGCACATTGGCCCAGGGCAGCAATGCCATGTGTCCCCACGTTTTCTACATAATTGGGATGAATTTTAGTTTGATAATTTGAATGGGGTCAGCAAGCAACTCACTCAATCTTCGAGTAGTAAAGAGGGAAACAAGCAGGCGTAGGGAGGGATGGGCAGATAGACAGACAGATAAATAAAGAGGGTAAGTTTCTAAAGAAACTGTGGTGCTGAAACGTCAGCACCACAGTGTGGTGAAACGTCAGTGTGCTGAAACGTCAGCTTTTTTACCCTTTACGGTGGCTAATTTACGTTTTCAACTCAGTTGTTAACACTAAATTACCTGCTAGACAGATAGATAGACCGATTGACAGAGATATACTTGTACAGAAATACAGATAAATAAACAGACGGATTGACGGACACATTATAGACAGACAAATACACGGACAAAACGCAAAAGTAAAGATTTTTACGTTACTTAGGATGTGAAAATTGGGCCACTAGTTTGTTCATTTCTTTAAATGACCAAAGGTCCGGTTTTATCTATAACTTTTTTTTTTGTGTCATCTGAAAGGATCTCGGTGATGAAATATTTTTGCATTTTTACTTTTTTTCTTTTTTTTTCAGGTCCTCCTGCTCCCAAACTCCCCCAAGTTGTCGAAGTTGACGTCACAACAAAAACAATTACGATCTCTTTATCACCATCCGATGACACTAACGGAGAGATCATGTGAGTGCTGGGAAATCCGTATGTAAGACTGGCTTTTGTAATTTTACGTCCAGCCATTCTTCCATTCTTGTATTCCAAAAAGGTGGGGGGGGGGGGGGGTGGGTGCTCTGGGAAGTTTGGGGTCATCTTAGGGTTTCATGGGAGGACAAATTAGGGGGCAAGGGGAGGGGGGTCAGTTGTTGTCACTAAGAGAGTAAAAGAAGAGCTATAGAAAGGAAACAGTGGGGGCGTGCATTGCCTTTTGGGCGGATCGGGAAAGTTTTATCTTTACACCACCACTTAACGTAAATCCTTCAAAAATTCCCCAACCGCCCCCGCCCCCTCCTAAGTAGGAGTACTTAGATCGACTTTTTTTTTCTTTTCAGGTATACCTATGTCTTTCACTGAGTAACATCTTTCACTCTGAGATCGTTGAAAAATTCAGCAGTCTTCCCCTAAATAAGGAAATTCTTTAAAAGTTATAATCCTAAAAGTTAATATGCAGAAAGTATATTAAACAAGTTGAAAAATGGCCAATCTTCGCTGCAAAGACTCTAAAGAATTAATGATCAAGTTATATTTACCTCCATAACAAAAAAGGAAAATTCTCTTAACGAGTGTAATGCGTTTTTGACAAGAACATTATTTCATTTCCCAACAATATTTTCGGGCGACACTGCCGAGTTAATGGTAACATAATTGCCTCTCTTTTTATTGAAACACCAAAGTTACTCGTTTAGTATTACTACTTTACATGAAAACTGACCTTTTTGAAACATTTCCCATTCAGTCGGCATGAGATCATTGTAGAATTGCTCGGAGCAGCCAGAGCTCGTCGTGAAACATCCGCCCTCCCGGAGTACATATACGGCTTTAAGGAAGCGCAAACAAATGGCGATCGTTTCTACATTGCGGCCGTGTTTGAAAGACGAAAACTGCCTGTGGAGTTCGTTATTGGAAATGGGAAGACATACGGCGGGTATGAGAATGCTCCTCTTAAGCCAGGGACGCGTTACAAGGTGTATGTAAGAGGAGTCACAGAACGTAACGGGGTAAGTACTCAAGGTTTCATTTGACATTTCAGTACCTTACCTTAGATGTTTTATTTGTCGCAGTCTGGCCGTATCCTAATAACTAGTGATTTTGTTGTTTTTCTTTTCTTTGTGCAGAAATGGCTTGTAGGAGAAGCAACTGCAATCAGCCTGCCGGAAACTGGTTTGCACTTTGGTTATGTCTTTTGTTTCGGTTCATTGGTCTTTTTCTTTGCATAGATATTGGGTGGTACAATGTCTATGTCTGTAGCGGAAATGCACCCAATTCAGCGTTTTTCCCGGAATGTCTCTTTTTGACGCTCACTGTTTCGTATTATGGTGCCCATACCGATCACCACACCCATTCTAGATTCCTTCCAAACCTAGCCTTGAACCACCCAGAAGCAATCAGATGACAAAGCAGAAATTGTTGCTACATATTTTGTAGACGAGTTGCCAGTCGCTAAAAAAGACGATATGGGAAAAAAAATTTAAATTAAAGAGTAAGTACTCAAAACGCATTAAGCCCGGGGACTTAAAAAACTGGCCTCATTCCTACCACGGCCAAATCAACAAAGAAAGTTCAGCCGAGGTTTCTTATTCAAAGGGAAAAGGCTTTCAACTTTTTTTTAAGCTCTACAAACTGGTGACCCTTGGGATTCCCTATGCGAGACTTTCAAGCAGCCCTCTCTCTTTTCCTTCCTTTCCTTGTGTTGTCCTATATAATTAGGGTCAACCTAACTATTAGCTCGTATTTTTTCTATTTATTTTCAAACCTCTGTTGACGGTCCCCGACGACCACATTTCCAGTAGTGACAAAGGCCGATGACCTCAAGAAAGACAACCTTTATCTGGCAATCGTTATTTTAGCAGCATTGTTGTTCATAGTGATGATCATCCTCGCCGTGGTTTTGATACTGCTGCGAAAAAACCAGCAAGAAATAGGTATTTGGAATTTATTTACGTTTTCCTTTAAATTCAACTTGACTTTTAGCCATCTCTATTATCAAGGCAATTCAGGAGCAGGCTTGATTACCATATCATTCAGTAATGATTAAACAATAATTCAAGAGATGTAGATGAATGTAATTGGCAAGGAAGCCAAGCCTAAGTAAAAGAAGTGAATAAAGGCGGAAAAAATAGTAATAACTACAATGAGAACAAATAAAAAAAGAAAAGGAAATAAAAACCGAGTAGTGGTGAATAAATAAATTACACCCTTTAAGTCCAAAGTGTCCTGGACTTCAATACTATGCTGCCTTGTAAGACCGACTGGATCTGAAAAAATCATACTTAAAGGATCATGAAATTACGCTACGACAGATCCGAGTAAAATAACCCTCTTAAATGACGTGCTCAAAGTAAATAGTTGGTCACATCACCAGTAAGCTGCGCGACCACCTCTTGGCTGTCAAGTTGTTAATTTGTTAACCGAGGTACCAAGTGCATGTATGTGTTCCACTAAAATGCTGCCGGATGAACCGACAAATCGCAGGAAGGCTGGCGTCTTTTTTTTTTTTTTTTTTTTTTTTTTTTTTTTCCAACAACCTATTGAAACCTTTCGAAGAAAACAAAGTTATTTATTTCTGTATTTGCTACTAACGGTGGTACTTGATTTCATCCACTAGCCTCAAGAAACAAAGCTGTCAAAATGTAAGTTGTTATTCGTCACTTATTAAGTCTGGCGCACATGTGAATTGACGCCGAATGCATCGCTCAAACAATACATAAAAATTAATACTTCGGTAGGCATACATTTTCTCTGTGGCATCCATTTTAACTATTTACTTGGTTTGTTTCCGGAGTGCAACAAAGAGTTTTCGGCCGTTTTGGAAGGGTAAAACACTAACCCAAATTGCAGAGAGAGATGGCTTTATGCTTTAAAAAGTGACAAAAGCCAGACAGCTAATGCAGCTGTAGTTGCCTAAAAGCCAGTGGGCAAGAGCCTAGATAATTTGTCCTATTCCCATATTTACTTACTTGAAAGCAAGAATGCTCGAAAAAGAGAGCATATAAGTATTGGTGGAACTATAACAATAAATTCAAAAATTAGAAAAAAAAAAGTAGTGATAAAACAAGTTTTAAGGTGGAGAACAAGGAAATCTTATTCAAATGGTGATATAACCAGTAGCACAAAATTTTTGATCGGCGCTTTTGATAGGCTGAGACTAGTTTCCTCATGCCCAGCGATGCAGAAATCGTCATTCCTATAGATTTCATTCCAGAGTAGATTTGGCGATTTCACGAAGGCAATTGGCTGTCACTAGAGCAAGGGGCATCCCACCAATCTACGAGAGAACAATATCATAATGCTTTAAATGGCTCTGCTCTTGAACTCCGTAGGTTTTCTAACAATTTGAGTAGATATCATATTCATGAATCTTCGCCAAATAAATATGGGGTGCTGCTCGTTGCTAGTTGTTTAAAGTTTCAAAAGTTTGTTTGTCTTCCTGTTGGTAGTCAGTCTAAATGCGTTTTCAAAGGTTATTAATAATGAACCTTTATTTGTTTATTTTTTTGCTCTCATTATACAGAAATCAGCGTGACTTTCAAGAGAGCTTGCCATTGAATGTTCTGAATGTTGGTGCCCGGCTAGAGTCTGCTTCGGGAAATGGAACCGGGAATGAGAGGCTCCATAGCGAATCGCTCGTCCAGCAGGAGGATGTATATACCGAACTGTTTCCGGAGTCAATGATGGTAATTATACCTACAACGAAATTAGAATTACCCAGTGTGAGCCTTTCAAAAGAGGGACTAACGGATGTGCTATACTTCCTTTTTTCAACTTTTTAACAGTTCCTCTTTGCTTTCTGCATGAGCCCCTTTTCCCTGCACTTATGTTTCGACTATGACGCACCTTGACTGTGGTCTTTTGACATAAAACTTTCCATATTATATAACTTGGAAACAGGCAATAAGTTTTAAGTGCAGTATCTAATGAAAGCTTCAATAGAAATGTACTTGTACTTTTACTGGGCAGCGTTTATGGTTTCGTTCAATTTCATTTTTTTTCATTTGCACTGGCGATTGTAGTCGTGTTTTCCAGCGTTACTAAGCTAACCAGGTCGATAATAACACAACTTTTGAAACAAACAAAACTAAATATTTTTCAGACCTCTGAAAACGATGGTTTCCGAACGTACGCTTCCCTTGTGAAATCGACAGAAGGCAGCGACATTGAATATGTGAATCAAATACCTGATCCTGATTATGTTAATGCTTGTTAAGTGGATTTTTCGTAATTATGATGACTATCGCTCATCCTAGAAAGCTGAAGTAAACAAAATATCGATGGTATGTATCTCTGTCTGCGAAGCCACAATTTCCACAACCCCCTTCCCTATCTTGTAAACGCGTAAATAAAGATGAAGAAATTATGATCTTGCCTTTCAGTTTTGTGCTATTTCAACATCTCTGTATCAGTTATGCACTCATTCCAGTAGGCATATCTCCTGTGTCTGCAAAACACTCGGTCTGATCGATTGTCTGACTATTGTACCGTAACATAATTTAGGCTATTGAATGAGTCCGACTTCAGTTCTCCAATAGTGAAAAAGAGAAACGCGGTTGAATCCGCTTTTATTTTTGTTTTACTAGTTATTTTTTTATTGGTGGGGAAATGAATGAAAAAGGAAACAAACAAAAAAATATACAAAAATATCTTAACTTAATTACACTGAAAAACTGTGCATACGACTTCCTCATTCTATGCTTTCCTATCAATCCAACGCAACTGATGTAGATACCAAAGATACGCTTTGCATTAATTATGTGCAAAAAGTTTTTATTAATAAAGACAAATTTCCTTCAAAGTTCGAAACTCATCTAAGCATTTTCTAATGGAAAAAAAGGAGTTTGAATTACGAAACTGAAAATTCAGCCATACAGAGCTGGCATAGGTGCCGTCCGCTGATTTGAGAGTGCGTCCACGAGAGCACCAGATGCTACATGTCATCTCAACGATTTCAATGAAACTTTACCTACTCCAACACTCAAAGAAGCAAAATGGTTTATTTTTTGGTTATTTCCGTGGGGAGATAGATCCCCTGGTTTTTCGTGGTTTCCATTAGAGAAATCGCTTCAGTATACCTAAATTTATGAAAATATCACTGCAATGGTATTTAACCGATTACTCTGAGAGATTGTATACATATTGCAGCATCCTTAATAAATGCACGACGCAAGTATCAGTCAATTTGACTAACAGTTTGTCAAGGCAAATAAATGACTGTTTTTTTTTTCTTTAACTTTTCGATTCATCCCAATATTTGATAACTTTGAGGTCAAATATCTACCCTTGCCAGAAAGCTACAACAATAATTTAATTCCCCGTTATAATTCATTATTTCGTTTCTAAAAACCATCAAAAAATGTTTTGGACACTGCCATAATTAACAATTGTTGATCCCGCACCGCCGATTAAGAGAGCGCAAACGCCTACCACTGTATTACACGGACTAACAAATTTAACAATATAGATAAATAATGCCTCGGAGATTAGCAGAGCGGACAAAATGGTGAGAATACAATTTACCCTCAACTAAGTAGCCATTTGCTTTGCATCATACAGGCTCGCTCTAATTATTTTTAAAAGGTTGTGCTCGCTGCCTTCAAAAGCTAATGCACAATTTCAAGAGCAGAGGGCTCTGCTCGTTCAGCCCGTGTTTTGCAAGCTGTTTTAAGAAAATGAGGAATTCGAAGGAAATGAAGGAAAAAACTCAAACACAGTTTTAAATGGTGGACAACAAGTCGAGATATTCCTTTTTGTTTGGCGATTTAGCGACCGAAGTTGCAATAGATATTGAGTATCGTATCAGCCAGGCGTATCAGCCGGGCGTATCGGTGAGCTAAAAAATCTTACAGCTTAGGACGTACTTCTTGTACAAATCGAAAGCAACTTCAACTTTAAGATACGTGTCATAAAGTTGCCACGGTCACCGTGTTATATCGCGCAAAGTTGTAAGCAAGATCTTGACACGTTCCTTTGTTTCTACCGTGTGAAGCAAGACGATGGCTGTGACCTTAATGAGGCAAGTAACTAACACGCAGCTAACGTGTTAAAAGCTAGTTCTTTCGTTTTAGCGTGCGAGCGAGCCGTGTGCGTTTGTTCACCTTACTCCCTGAAATCCTGTAAAGGGTGACATTTTGTCCTGGATGCCATTTTAAATCTACGACTTCGACAGGCTTCTCTCAACCACCCTTTTCATGCAATTCTGACTCTAAGCGGTCACTTTATCAAATACACCTCACTTTATAGCTAATTGATCGATGAAGTTAAGAAATGTAAACAACTTTCGAGATATTTTGTAGGAGTGGAAAATTTAACGTTTAGGAAAAAGCATGTAGGCGAAATGTTTATAGGAAAACTGTAGCGTTTCTTTTCATCTATTAACTTGGAGATTTGCTAAAATCAGCAAATATGGCATACGACACAAAACATTCATTATTTGTAGTGT